GAATCTTCCACGTAGTCTACACAAGCCCTCACTTGCTTTCAGTTGGAAACAGTAGCTGGTGATTTCTGTTCTGCTTTTCTAGGATGCTGCTGCTTTAGGATTATCTATTACCCATAAGATCAATTGTTCCTCACATGCTATTAAAATAGATCATTCTATGATGGAGGTAGAGATGACACAATGTTTTACTGGAGGTATTTAGTACTTTGGCAAAAAACATGTGGCTTTTCCTCTCTCACTATCAACTTCATTACATTTCTTTGTGGTAAGCAGCTGAATGAAATCACTAAGATATTCTGCTGGATTTTTTAATTGATTGTGACATATGTTATATACAATAGTGACTTTCCTGTTTAGCTAAATGAATTATACAATAAAGCTAAGTTTAACATTTGCAAGTACTTTCCTTAAAAGTCATAATGTGGGAGGTATGATCCTATTTAAAAATTAAAAAACACCTTGTAACATACCTTACAGGCCTTCAATCAAGATTTCCATTTTTTCTCTGCCACTGGAAATTATTTTAATAATAAGCAGACACATGTTTTTCTACAAAGCAAGTTTGTACACAAGTGAAACCATTTATTTGTCTGGTTTCTCTGTGTTGTAGTTTCTGATATTCAAATCTAGGATTCTGGGTCTGCGGGTACAAAAGGAAGAGCTCCCAGGAGTTATAAGTGGAGATCAATTGTAATTTCTACTGCAGGTCACCAGACACATAACTTACAGAAGTGGAAGGCTCATTGCCTTTGACCTCTCTGTTACCTTGATAAATAAATCTCCAAATGGGGCAGGCATATCATTGGCTCAAAGGTTCACTTAAAGATTAAACTGTTCTGGAAATTTCTCCATTACGGAGCCCTCTGTGGACAGAATTATGATTAATTTGCTAATTTGAAAGGTTCATAATTACTAAAGGGCCTGTCAAAATGTGCACACATGAAGTATTTGTACGCATATGAGATGAAGGGCTTTTCTTGGTTACATACAGCTGTGCTAAATACCTACAGGGAGCCTGAAATCACTTGAACTGAGTCTTGGGTGACAGCTTTGATATGTTCTTGAAGATCAGCACTGTTTGTGAAAGTTAAGGAGGCATGGACTGAGGTAGTCCAAACTGCTGGGAAGCTAGCTACCTCATACCTCCTTAGCCACAGTAATTTCTCTCCCCGAAAACTCTACTATATTTCTGAAGACATATAAAGATACAAGTGGGTAGTGGGCAGACATGCTACTCATTGGAGTACGGAAGGATGACTGCAGAGGGTTCCAGTAGAACTCAAAGTTTGACTGAGTTAAATCTTGCAGGTAATCCCCAGGGATTGAGTCATTGCCAGCAATAACATTTGTCTACATCTGATCTGATATTATTTACATAATGATTTATGGTAACCTATAAGTAGCTTACACCCACATTTTAAAAGCTATTTAGATATTGCTTCTCAGTGCCACATGCCTAATTGATTTAGGAGCCTAAATCTTATTCTCCAAATGGTTTTGGGCATTTAGGATTCTTTGACTGTCAAGAGGATTTAGACAGCTAAGTGCCTACATCTCTTTTGAAAATGAGATTTAGGCTGTAAATCAGTTAGTCAGTGTGAGGCTCTGCACAGCCATATCTAAATATCTTAAAAATCTGTGTCCTAGTCCTTACGAGAAAAATTGATATAACCTTGGAGGTCTGTCTTCATAAACTAAATATACTATCTATAATGTATTGTTATTCAGTATCACAGACACTATGTCATATTGAAGGAATGTTTTTAATTTTTTTTAATAATTATATTAGTTATAGTGATCTTTTGTGAAAATAACACAACTCTTCAGCATGATCAGATTCTTGTCCCTGCTTAGAGCTCTGGAGGGGTTTGATAATATCAATAAAATAAATAATAATAATACCCATTGAAAGGACAATGGCTCAGTATTTAAAATAATATTCTTAAAACATCTTTACATGTACATTGTTGTAGAGCAGTGCCTTCCATTAAAAAGTGCAAGGGCTTCTGAGCTTCCATAACAATATATTAAAAAGATAGTAATCTTTATATCACACACACATCATAGTGAACTTTGCAGTGGGCTATGTGGAACTCAAATACTTTTTGACTGGCATTGTTGTATCCCCTTCTCCCTTTCTCTAATACCACAACCCAGGTGATAATTTCTGCAATCAAATCTACAGTGTGAAGACCCATCCAGTAGAGGGCATTGTTAAACCTGCTTTAACAATTATTAGAATGTTTGGAAGTAGAAAGATTCACTCCAACATAAATGGTTTACTATAACAAATGCAACACCCTGATAATTAACAATAATGAAAGACAAGAAAACTTTTTTTAAATGGACAGAGGAGCAGAATATTTTGAGTGTTAAGGGACAAGTGGGTGGCACTGTGTTTATCTGTGTTTATCTGTTTATCTGTGTTTATCTGTGTATATTTATAATAGCTGTTAGTTTGTTAATGCTCTGAATACTCATTAAATGTAAACAGGCATGCAAAGCACAGAAACCAGATTTCCAGAAAGAGAATATATTTAAGAAAACAACATCTAGTGCATACTGATCTAACTGACTCTAGATTTAGAATGACCTTTAAAACACTTTTCTCGGGTTCACCAATAACTGTTTTCCTGAGTAATGTGAATTTCCAGTCTTGAATTCCTAACATGACTGTGGCGGAGGGTGGGTTGTTCAAAAGACGTCTTTATGCTTTTATCACTGGTTAGGTCCCCAGTTTTCCTCTCCACCCCCAAACAAGTTGAAAGCTTTTGTTTTTATTGAATACCATGGACATAGTGGTCAGAAAGCATAATCAAAGTTTTACTTTTTCTTATTTCTCTCCCAGTTCTCACTTAATTCTTTATTTTCTCTTCTATTTGTGACATGTGTGCATGTGTGTATATGGAGGGGAGAAAGGGGGCAGTTTGATCACTATCTGGAACAGGAAAAATAAATATTATTTGGGTTGCCCACTCAAGTACTTTCTAGAATCCCATTTCCTTCACTCACTTAAAGAGAATAAAGCACTTAACATGTTGCCAGTTTACTGTAATACTAAAATGGGATTACTTGATTGTCTAACTTTTTTATTTAATAAGCTACAGCCTGATCCTGAACTCTTTACTCAAGCAACTCTTCCATTGACTTGAGAATTAAAGATCCCATCACTTGAAAATATTCCTCAAGGATGAAAGAAAAGTACATGATTTTTAACCTACAGAATATCCTGCTCCTTTTCCCATGAATGGTTTGCCTCGTATCTGGAAGGAGCTGGGATTCCTTCACCTGCACATCTTCAGGTAGCTGCAAGAAATAAAATCAACAGGAATGAATACTTTTTGTTTCCACTCTGCTATTTGCTCACCACTGGCTAAAGACCACACCTGGACTGTACCACAGGTGATCCTGGAATCCCCATATAAATGAAATATCCCAGAGTGGCAAGAGGAACACAAACAAAGTTTGTAAACTTGTACTGCTTTCTCTCTGGGTCTGCATACTATCCTCGCCTCTCTAGTATTCCACAGAATTATGTATCGTTAATACATACATATAATAAAATAAACCACTGAAACCACCAATGATCATTTCTCTAATCTTGGATACTTTGATGTGAAACAATCTGAATCAATCAACTCATTCATTTGAGTTTGCCTTTTGGTGGTTAAACAATAATTGAATATGACACTTTATGGGTTTCAGCCTCTGGATGGCAGTACCTCCTGCTTAAATGTTCATGATCCATAACTGCAAAATCCTACAACAAGGGATTTCCTTTTCTGTGTCAGTTTGCTGTCCAAAAGAAACATTTAAATTCATTCACTCCAGTGTTTATTTTAATCCAAATCTGAAAGCTAAGTACAACTAAGGAATCTGTTTAATGTTAAATCCTGATAGCATAAATCCCATGTATATAAAAAAGAAAAGAAACAAAGGAAAAAAAGAACTGGTGTGAGTATTTCCATACCTTTATATCTGATTCTGCATTTTATATAAATTAACAAATGTTGCTGAGCAAATCAAATTCCTTGCCTTGGGACAATGAGGCAATAGAAAGGATATTGAAACATCCTGGTCTTGGGATGTATTGTAAGCATGCCTGCCACTTAAAAGTGTTCTAGTTGTTATATGCTACATCTGGATTTTTTGACTGTGATTTTCATTGTAATGCAAAATTTTAAAACAAATTTAAACAATAAAATACAGATGGTATAAGTATTTTCTAAAAATTCACTGCAAAACTAAATAAAGATAATATTGAAATGATTTGAGGGGAAGATATGACAGGCTATCAGAAAAACAGAAATACAGCTCTTTAAATTTCAGCCCATATAATAAGGGATCACTATTGTTATCTCCACTTTACTGATTGAGAAACTGAGGCACGGAGTGGTTAAGATTTAAATATCTGATTCCATATTTAGTGCCTGGAACCAGTGCCCACTCAAGGATTTCAGTGGGCTTTGGAGCAGACTTTTAGGCATCAAAATAATCAGGTTGAATTTCAGAGGTGCTGAGCAACAGAAGCTGTATTTCAAGAACAATGGGAATTATAGTAATGCCATGTCCTCTAGGTGATCAGTCCGATAACTTGAAGAGAGAATATTCTAAGGAATACTTGTACCAAACAGTTTGTGAGTAATCCATTGGTCAAAATCAGTTTGAATAATTTTGAATGATGAAAACATTTGTAACAACAACAGTCCACTTGTAAACAATATGTGAACAGGAAGTAGGGGTCAGTTTGTAAAATAAATTATGATTGCAAACTGCCTTCCCAGATGTCATGTGTTGCGCATACTACATAACAAAACCCATGTTCTCTTGTAAAGAAAGTTAGAAAAACAGATAGCAATTAAATTTGATTTTTTTGCTGTAATGTAGATATTACAGATTTCTCTGCTACACATACTTACTAGTGTTAGTGCCCCCTCAGCTTAACTTTCTTTAAATTCAGTCTAGTTGACCAGTGAAGAATTAATTTATCATTTACAAAATTGTGGTTATGGCCAGAAAAGTGACTATGTAAAATAGTACCATCTTACTCACCATAACTCTATGCTTTTAACTCGTCTGATTATTTTAGTAATGAAAACCTGTTTATTAATTATTTTGTGTGTGTGTGTGTGCAATGGTTAACAATGCACATCCAGCATGTCTATGGAATTGCAAGCTGTCTTCTATTGTACACAAGGCTCTTCAACAAAAAGTTCAGTTAAATGTAGACCCTTAACAGTTATTTATTACTACTGTATTCTTCTAGTTAAGCCCCCGTAAGACCCTGCACTTGGATCAGCACAGCCTTTCTCTCGAGGCAGATGTTAGCAATAATTTGTCCCATAATGCTTACCAACATTAATACGGACAGTACATACCTTGTTTCTGCAATGGTCCTAAGATTAAAATGTCCTCCATCCCTGGAGGTAGTTCTAATGGCTAAATAGATAATACTACTATGTAGGAGGAAAGAAGAATTCTAGTTTTGGGGGAATGATGAGGAGGAAGGTTTGGGTGAAACTGCTCTATAAAATGAGGATCCATCTACAAAATTTAGGTCTAATAAGCTGCATAGAATATCTTGCCTTACTTGCAGGTTATACTTTTGAACTGTTACAGAACCGTATATACCTCAGTAGAAATAGTACTTGGGTATCACGGTGATCAATGCCTTACAAATAAAAACCTAGATTAGATGCCACTATATTTCTATTTGCCTTGCCCCCTGCTTTTGTTTGCAGGGGGAATTCCACTGATGAATACAGAGTTCCAATTAAGAATACTACAATTTCAGTAAGGAAGGAAGACTTAGGTGGGCAGGACAGAATGTTCCTCAACAAATACCAAACAATCAGCAAATTGTTTTAGCCGATCAAGTGCCTGAAAAAAAATTACTGATAGAAGCAGCCCTGGGAAGGACAATAGACAATCAGAATTATTGTTGAGGTGGAGGCAGTCAGTGCAGCCTTTGTACAAGAATCGTATAATATCGTAGCTGTCATATGGAACTGAGCGCACAGTACAAATGTACTACTTCATGAGGCAAGTCCTTCAGATTTATATTTCTATGTGACTGAGGATGTACCATCTAACAATTCAGTCCAACCTCTGAGATCAGTTGGAGTCTTTCTCTAAAATTAATTTCCCATTCAGGTTACATAATCTTTAGGAAGATTGTTTTTAAAAACATGTAATTTGGTTCTTATGAAAGATGCCCCATGGATGGTCTCAGACACTCATAGCATTTCAAAGGCAAAAAGGACAGGGACAATACAAATGTCTTTAGTCAGCTGGCATTAAATCACAACCCTCTTCTGGTGGGACAGCCATGCTCTCCTTGTGAAAAGGAAGGAGTTGATTTTCCATGCTCATTTGTTCCTTGGTCCTTCTGTTATGACCATCAACAAGGGTGAACATCCATGTTTTTTCACAGAGATCACCAGGGCTGCTAGGGTAAGAATAACTTTTTGCCACTCCTGTCCTGGGCTAGAGCACCGCAGGTGATTTTGAAGAAGTAAAAAGCTCTGTCCACTGAGCTACGCATTCTTCCTGAGAATGATTTACTTAAACTAATTTAGTGCTAAAAGAAGCCAGTTTCATAAAAGGATCTAACAGCTTTCAGACATAGCCCTGCATTGGGGTACCATAGCACTTGTCCTAGCAAAGCACTGGAGGCAGTATGCTAGCAACCCAGCGATGTGCGCACCCTGCACTATGATATCTTCACCGCCATCATTATGTGCATTGACTGGCTTCAGGCTGACTTGAGCAGGCTAGCTCGTGCACAGCTTTTGCTGTGTAGACATACCCAATGTTTCTTGGAATTCCTTGGTGTCTTAAGGGAAGGATGTTAATTTCTGAGCCTTCCAAGGGGTGGATGTTATGCTCTCCGATGTGCCAACCAGCTCCCCAGTGCAGACAAAGAGAAAGGACGCGTTTTTTCGGCATCCCTGTAAACTTTGTTCTACGAGGAAGAAGGAATGTTCTGAAAGAGGGTTTTTTCCCAACATTTGGGCCCATGTGGACAGGCTAAATGTCGGAAAAGCCTCTTTCAGATTAAAAGCGGAAAAAGATATGCATCTTTTTCTGACTTTTCTTTGTAGTGTAGACATAGCCATCGAGTGGAGCAGGAGGAAAGCTCTATGAGAGCATTGGTGCAACCAACTAGCCCTCTGTCTTTGTTCATAATGAAAGCGGCTCTTTGTATAAGCACTACCATCTACTTTACCCATTGTCCTGACTGATTTTCAGAAAGTCAATGAAACGTGAAAAAATAATAACCCCATGACTGGTAAGGAAGAAATCTCCATAACTAACCACAAAGCTGAGCTTGCCTCAGTCTCTCAAAAGTGGTGGAAAAGAAATTTTTGTGACTAATCACCTGTATACTTGTGAGCACTCTGCTTTTTTGCTGCTGTGCTTACCTCTAAGGATTTCATTAAGTTATGGACTTAGTACCACTGGGGAACAGTAGACAAAAGACTTTTCAAACTTTCCAAAATGTTTTTTCTCAAATGCGCCTCTTGAGGCTGCTTATTGAGCAGACTGCTGCTGTCTCCAAAGAAGTCCACAGAAGATTTTTTTTTTTTTTTTTGCTAACAGTCTGTAAAGGAATAGTTTTCTGTCCTAATGAATATAGTTTGTGTTGCAAGATCAATGGTTGGGAGCTGAAAACATACAGAGGTAAAGCTGGATACATTTTTTTTTAGAGAAACCTAGGATGAGGGGCGAATAATGTATATTGTTGACATCAAAATACTTTGCTTGTGTTGGGATTTCCCTCCAAAATATTTTGACATTTTCTTGAGTGGTTCTCAGACTGGAGTATGCATATTCCCAGAGGTACATCAGATCTCATCAAGGGCATGTCAGAAAAATTCTGTAATGGCAGAGAACCAAAGGGTTGCTATCTCTACAGCTCCACTGCAGAGACTTGCAAGCTTAGGTCCCTGGGTGAATAGCTTTCAAATTGTAATATGTACGCTGAAAAACACCCTATACTGGAATTTCTAATTGTCTAGGTTATATCTAAATCTAGCTGATCTGACCATACTATCTCAGTTCTGAAGTGAGATTTCAAACAGATTTTTAAAGTCCTATTAATTACAAGGCCTTCCGTTATGTGAGGCCAGAGTTTAGCTGAAAGATGCCTTTTCTTCCTATCATCCCAATGGTTCCTTAAATTAAGATTAAAATCCAGAAAGCTGGATTGCTGTACCTATAATTTAGAAAGGCCTGGGCATTGTTCTTGAAGAATTTACATCACATGCTTATGGACCTAACTGCCATTTGTCATTCACAAATCT